ACCAACCACTTGGCGCCTCAATCCACCACCATCATCGATCATCACCATCCATCATCAAACATCAAACATCAAACATCAAACATCATCATTCGTCATCAAACAACTAACATCATGTTATCATCTATCATCATCCCCGACATCACGAAAGTACTGTAAATACCGAGTAAAACGGCTCTTGTGGAGATATGGTTCGGGGTGTCTGTGTAACCGTGTCGTCATCATCATCCCCCCCCCACTCCCACCACCCCCCACCCCCAAATCCGAAGCCGAATTTAGCAAAGTCGCGGAGTGGATTTTGTGGATTTTGAGGCACGAAGAAGTGGTACGACAGGACGAACGTACTGTACCGTAAATACCGAGCAAAACGAACGTGCTCTGAAGAGGGTTGGCAGCAGAGGTGGTTGGTAGGGGGGGGCACCTCCTACTACTACTACTACTACTACTACTACGACGACGAGGAGGAGGACGACGACGCACGAAAGTGTGGGCGAAAGTTCCGCAAAAGGATAACAGTAATCCGCGAAGAAGCCAGCTCCAGAAAAAGGCATATTGATCAACCAACGCTCACATACTTCGAGGTGCGACTCTTGTTCCGATCACACTGCGGTGCGTGTTCTGGGGTGCCTCATGAATCGGCCCCAGACGGCGCGAAAAGGCATACCGGTGTGGTGGTACCGACGAGCCTGCCGGGGCCTTGCTGTGGCTCTTAAGCTTGAAACGTTGAACGAAAGAGTCGGGGAGGTGTGGTGCCTGGACTGGAGTCCACTCGGCCAGTATTTCTTGTCAGGCTGGTAGCTTTTTTCGCGAGGCTGTTATGTCGGAAGACGATTGACATGTAGAGAGAGCACAGGAACAGATGGCGAGACGGCTTTGTGGAGTGTGGAGCATGCTTGCGCTCTACGCGCCAGAAGCCTCAGTCCTCGTGATGGCCAAGGGCTCTGCAGCAATGCTGTGTATGCCACAAATCACTAGATCACTAGAGGTATTGGGCTCCCAACTGCCGCGTCCATCTCCCGTGCGAGCTCTCAGGCACCTTCACTCCGTTCTCAGTGCCAGATTGTTCTTTGAGGTTCAGCGTCGCCGGGATGGATTGTTTCAGGATTTGTTCGGAACATCATCTTTTGCGGATGTGACCCATGAAGCTGTCGCCAGCGCCAAACCATCGTCAATGATTCAGGTCTTTCTGACGGGTTGTGATTCAGGGTCTGTCGTCGCGGATCCAAATCAATGCAAAGCGACAGCAGTGCATGCCTTCTGAGGGTTCATCCGAGCGGCCGCTTGGCAGCCGTGGCGACCCGCGAGCGCGTCTGTCTCTGGGACTTGGCGTCGGCGGCGCCGGCACAGGTGGGCCGAGACGGCCGAGCACAGAACAACTACAGCGGTTCGCGCGATGTTTGAATACACAGTTTTAGCTCATTTTCGTGCTGGAGAGGAGCTGCAACTCAAAGATTGCACTGCACGACTCTCGGGCAGAGAGCAACCAATCATGCTCCTGCGCCTGGCATCTTGCAGGCTTTGGCTTTCTCTCCTGATGGTTCCATCCTGGCATGCGGTTCGAGCAACATGGAGGAGAGTGAGCGCAGGAAGTCAAAAGGTTTGCCTCAAACATTTTAGAAATGCCATTCGGTTCTTGCGCATTGCTTTGATTCCACAAGCATAGCACTGTAGCGTTTTTTGCGTTGGGGAGTAGAGGGATCACTTGGATCGTCATGCCGGTGAGCTTCGAGACCACGGTATTAACATTTCCTGCATGCAAGTCGGGTCACTGAGAAGTTGCGTGTGCACCACGACCTTGAGAACGCTTAGCTGTTCCTTGGCATGCGAGGATAGCCTGATGCTGTGGCAGCTGGCGTCCAACAGAACGTCGAGCCACAAGCATGGAGGTGCCTCGCTTTGGATGTTCCTGGTATGGCAACAACATGCACTGAATTGCCCAAGTGTTGAGTGTGGTCTCAGCTCAAGAATGAAGTCGAAAGGCTTTTGCTGTTCAGGAGCTGTCAGTGCCACGATCTCAAAAGGCCGCAGCATGCTGCAGGCAAGCTCTGCATCACATTACCAAAGCACGATTTGGACCAAGGCTTTGTGTTTTGCGTGGCCTGGTTTCCTACCAGAGCAGGATCGAGTCCAAGTCTTGACGTGTTCCCCGATTCCTCACAAGTCAAAACAGTGCTGAGGATCGGAACAAAGCTTTCCTCTGTTCTGGAGTCGCAGACGAAATGCGAATGATGGAACTCAGCCTGTGTTCCCACTACCACACAGCCAGTTTCGATGATGATAAGCGAAACCCTGCCCAGGCACAGCCTCAGCGTCAACACATTCCACGACTGCTGGGACAGAATCACCCATGGTGAAATGCTATCGGATACATCCTGAGACAATTAATGAGTGGCAGGACGATCTGGTCGAGGCCGAGGCCACCTTCCAAATGCCACGTTCTTCGCAGGGAACGGAGGCACCTGGCTGCTCGTGAACTCATTGAACTTTGGTCTTTTTTGTGTGTTTTTCTCCCTCTCTCTCTCTCTCTGCCTGTTTCTCTCCTCTGCTAGGCCGATCGAGATCGTGCACGAGTGCTCTCCTTGGTGGGGGCTTCGGGGAAGATCCTTTGCATTTCTGCGAGATCAAAGCCGGACGTGCCGTCCTCAGTGTTCAATCGCTTTACATGTAACATGTCATGGGCTGTGGCGGCTATGACTGTGATCATATTGTAGACTCACGGATATCTATTCAAGAAGGTAAGATGCACCAGTGTCAACCCGCCTCGTATGACTCTGTTTGCAGGCTTCGGGGCGGAAGTTCCCTCTCCTTTCCGCGTGCAACGTCCGGGCTCGAAGAGATCTGATCTCATACAGACAAAAAGGGGCGAAGCTGCATGAGCTGCGAGGACGTGCGAGCATCAAGGGCATGCTAAGTGCGCAAGATCGAGCATTCCTCGTGTTCCGCATCCGAAGATCCAAAACTCGAAAGAAGCCCGGAGCATGCCGGAGCCACATGAGCCCAGAGCTCTTTTCACAGCCAAACTGCTACCACAGGTTCATCTGCCTCCTCAACATGACTTGATTTTATTTCAATGTCAAGCCCGAGCCTTCTTCACACAGGTCGTTCTTTGCTAGCATGCCAGAGTGGATACTGGATTGCTTCTGGCTGCGAATTGTATCATCTATCACATGCCGCTTCCGTACAGATTAGAAGTTTGGCTTGACTGCCCACTTCTCGGTCGCAGATTCCCTCTGGGCTCCATGAACATTGAGAGGAAAGAACAGGAAACCACTCAGAACCACCCCTCTTGCGGACATACCATCTTCAACGTCCAAGTGTTCAGTAGTCAAGTTGTCCGCTGCGGTAGTGGAGCTCGCACTTGCTGCAGGAAGCGCCGCGGAACTACTCCTCTCCCTCGACGACGGCGTTGCCGTAGCGCTCCAGCACAGTACTGCGGCGCGCTGCGACCACTTGAGCCAAGAAACGCGAGTTCTCCGCCCATGTCTAAGAGATGTGAAGGCCAGGCAAGAGTAGCCTGGAGGACTCCCACTGGTCTCGTCGGCACATCAGTACCGCAGTGAAAAGCGCACGTCCCACTCATGCGCCCTATCAGGGCAAGGGTCACCACAGCTGCAGGCGGGCACCGGCAATCCCTGATTGCTGTGAAAGCGCGCCTCAGAGACGTAGTGGTCACTAGCCGCGGGCGGGTGCTGAGCGACATACTTGGACACTCCCTTAGCCGACGTGGCCGCCTCAGCCCAGCATAAGTGCCGGAGAGCCTCAGCCGCGCGAGAGCTGGAGCCCAGAAAGGCCCCCCAGCAAGAGGCGCGCCAACCCTCCCTGAGCACATGGGCCAGACGACTCTGGCCAGGAGTGCCTGCTGCAGGCCTGCAGAGCTCGTAACCGCGCAGTGCTTGGGGAACGGCGATCAGAGGCCCACACGACAGAAGAACCTTAGACAGGTCATGGACCCACGTCCAGGGCCGGCTTTCCTCAGTCCACGTGTGACGCTTCATCCAACGGCGAGTCAGCCACACAGAGCCGGAGGTTTGCTTACTTCCCCAATGCGAGTCATCGAGCAAGTTGTGGATTCGAGCCATTATGGTCTGAGAGACCACCGTGAAGTCCACCCTAAAATGGGGGTCGCAAGAGTGGCCTGACAAAATCTTGAAAAGCGGTCCAATTGTTCAGAGACTAGGGCTGCCCATGCTTCGGGCGAATGTGCATTCGAGATGCACATGGAGCGCCTTGCGCTTGCCCGGCCTGTGAATGAGTTTGCCTCCGCAAGTGCTCCGCTCCTGCCTGGAGTGGCTGGGGGTACCACCAAATGCCACGTATGTCGAACTCAAGCTTTGCCCCATGGGGTCCATGGGTCGAGGGCCCAGGCCGGGCTCGCACAAGGGCAGACGTGCCGCTCCCCTGTCTTCTTGCGATCATAATGGCAGCGCCGTCGGCGACCCAGACGTCACCTGCAAGACGGTTGCGTGCAACTCCCGCGCTGGAGCTCAGCCGCGGGGTATGTCAGCTCCTTGAATTTTCAGTACTCAGCTAGCAGGAGCAGCCCAACAGTAAGTAGCGCAGCACAAGACAGCCCGCTTGTACACCCAGCAGCTTTTCAAAGTCAACAGTAAACAACAAAGGGACTGACGTGACACAGCTGCTGCGGAACGTCAAAGTTTCTTGCTTGCTGTCTGCACACATCGCGAGACACCTGATGCAACAGTCCCCGCACACAGATGGCACTGCTCGCAGTGGACACACTTGTCTCCCCTGCGACTGCTGCCGGTTTCCCACGCAGGAGTAAGGACCGTACTGCCGGAGCTGCCTTGCTTACGGTGAGACCAGCTAAAGAGCGCACATACCCTGAACTGTGCAGGTCCAATCGTTGCCGGCTTGCTCTGCCATCTTGGGAGGGGCATTGGAGTGCTGAAGCCGCTAGTAGCCGCTAGATCTGTTTCGCAAGGCCCCGTGACGCGCCGCCATCTCGGTGTGTTTTTTTGCGGTTCCTGCTCCTCTCATTCGCTGCAACTTTTTCGCAGCCCCTCACCTTCACAGCCTATGCTCGCCGCGTGGGGTGAACCCGTTCTCGGCGTGCGACGGCCGTAGACTGTCGCCTTGGCTTTGGGCTTGTGCACAGGGCCGCGCTGCTTCGAACGTCAGTATAAAGGTTCGCCGAGACAAAAAGCAGGTTGTTCGAAGATGCCAAAAATGTGTTGAATTTTGCATTTTCTTGCACGCCCGTATTTGCGACCGCAGTAAGTCCGCAGACGTGGAAGTATCTAGGCCAAACAAGAAACTTCACAAGACATACCGTTCGCAATGACGGAACTGGATTCAGCCGTTCGCAGCGTGAAGTCAATCAAAGCTGGTGATGAATATGGGTTGGCCGCTGAGCTTTTGCATCACGCACCTCCTTCAATTCGTCAAGTATTAGCAGTATTGTTGGATCTTTTCAACCATTTCTGGAAGAAAATGTTGTTGATGGACTACAAGCCGATAGTCGCGTTGCGGTTGTTGTATAAAGCGCCTTCTTATTTGGCGTTGTTTCGGAAGTGTGCCATTGTTGTTGCAGCGGACCTTCGCATTGCAAGCATGCGGAATGAACTGGGGCTTCCGTTTGGACCGTGCTTCAATGACCGCAAGGAAGCGACAGTGGAGATCTTCCACAAAATCCATCTTTAAATCCCTTCTTCACCAGTAGTTAGCTTCTCTTCACATTAGAGGGGAGGTAGGTCTTGATGGTCTTGTGGACACGGACACGGCTGGGCTGTGCTCCTCTCGCCTGCGTAAGCCGCGGTTTCGCATCTACCACTGGAACTCAACCGCTTCATTTTCGATATCCAAAAGTCGCTGTAGACATCTGCTGTGCTGTGCTCCGGAGTGAAGCAAGCCACCGGTGGAAGAACGGCATCAAATAATTTAAATCCAATCGCAGAATCCGACTGTCCCACGTTCCGGTCTGGGCTATGGCCAGGACCCAGCTAGTGATGCAGTGCGGGCGGTTGCGACACCCTCGCGGAACTCCGCGAGCCTCTGCGACGACCACATGGCGCACCGTTGCCTGAGGCCGCGCCCCAGAATGAATCCGGACAACCATGCCCCGTCCCCCCGCAAGCCTTTCCACTGCTTGCGGTCTCTTGCCGTGGCTCGGCAGCCGGATCGTTTGAAGCCGCAATGAGCACATCCGTATCTTGCTCGATGATTGTGCTCGCAGATGGGGATGTACTGCGGCGCCTCGTTGGCCACGTCAGCGCGCATGCCCCAGTCAGCCGCCTGCTCTGCTCGCCGCAGAGGCCTCCCCCCGATTTTCCGCTGATGCAGTCGGTGTTTTTGACTGCGTGTCGCGGGGATCCATGCTTGGCGCACTGCGCCACGCTCAGCACATACACGTGGTACGACAATGATGGTCGTGTGCATGACGGTCGTCAAGGACGACGTGGTAAACAAGGCGATCCACCGCATTCTATGCATTGGCCCAGCACGCCGCGCTTGCTGACGTCCCGGCATTCAGAGCCAGCTTGTCGAAGTCTGCATCGTCGCAGCACCCGAGCGCATCCCAGAACATCCACTTTCGCAGGACGAGCAAACACATGCAAACACAGCCATGGCAAACATTAGCCCAGGTCAGCCCTTTCGCGTAGATCTCATGAAGGCCCTCGCCTCCCTGACACAAGACTCGGATGGAGACCTACCAGACATGCTAGCCGAGGGCGTCCATACAGGAGTTTTTTCAGACATCCAGCCTACAGGGCTCTGACCCCCAGCCAAGCTCCAGTCAGGCCTAGAGGTGTGCCAAGGGAACCGGAAGCCTGCTGAGGAGGACCCTCAGACAGTCCTCTCTCTCCCCAGCCGAGGACGAAGCCTCAGGTTGGAGAAATCAGGTGCCAGGAGGCCTCAAAGCAACCAAAGAATTGTGGCCTAAGGGCATAGCCGTAGGCAAACTAAGCCTAGTCAAGGCCGAAGGTAGAGACCCACGCCTAGTGTTCGACAGCACCATCTGCCAAGTAAACCCCCTGTGCCGCATTCCCGAGGCAGTTTCAATGCCTACAGTACAGGAGGTTCGCCGCTCATTTCAGCTCCAAGATATCCCCGCGGAGCCTACACATCGACGAGTATAGACTTCAAGGCAGCCCATAAAAGAGTGAAGGTGCACAGCTCGGAGCAACCCGCCTCATACACTCCATTCTAGCCGATCTCCCACAGAGAGCCTGGCTACACGTGGACGATCTACTCGCCGTGTTGCTTCGCTCATGTGCACATGAGTCCCTGCTGGTTCTCGTGTTGCTGCTGACCTGCCTAGGCGTGCCTCTTAGCTGGAAGAAAGCCTCCATCGGGGATAGCCTAGTTTGGTGCGGCTGAAGATTCAATTTTGCCTATGAGACTGGAGAACTGTGTGCAGCCAAACGTGAAAAACTGCGAATGCAGATTCACGGCTTACTTTCCAAGCCTAAAGTGCCCAGAAAAGACCTGCAAGCCTGCATCGGTCTCCTAATGTGGGCGACGAACATTAGCCCGGTGCTCAGGCCCTACCTAGTGCCTCTGTATCGCCTCCTGAACAGCTCGCCGGGAGCCAACTTCTCCATCGCGCCTCGTGCCATCTGCATGTTGCGCATCTTGGCTGCATCTAGCTGCGCTCCTTGAGCATGGCGAGGGT